TGATGATGATGATGATGATGATGATGATGATGATGATGATGATGATGATGATATTATGTACCTATCTTGGCAATTTACAATAGAAACATAAAACCAGAGTCGAATCCTCAGATATTAACTGAAAACGTAAACCTCACTCTTCGTCTTATTAAAAAAAATGACAATGTTCTGGCACATAGATGGTTTGTATGATTTAAATTATCTTGTGCAATGATTCAACTATGATCCAGCAAATCCCATGGTATAAAAGCTGTACCAAGTTCAGACTGTATTAAGTTCAAGCAGAGTGCTAATAAGTCAGTATTTACAGTAAAATACATAATGAACATATTTCTGAATAGTTTAGCCGTGGTACTTGGAACCGATCTTATGTACACTTAAATGAAAACATAAGCATGAAAAGAAAACCATCTTCCTAGTTTTCTCCATGATTATACATTTTTACATTCCTGTTTGTTTTGGTTTATATGTTCCTTTATTTAACATTAACATTTTCCCCCAATTATTTGCAGATGATCACTCCAGAGTGAGACTGCAGTTGCTAGATGGAGATCCCCATTCAGATTACATTAATGCAAACTATATTGATGTAAGTGTTATGAAAACATATTTGCACAGAACAGTGTCTGTTTGAAGACTCCCTAAGCAAATTGTCTTCTGGTGTGATCCCTACTTAGTGAGATGCATTAGATTTAAATAACTATACTGTGGTAGGAGACAGCAGCAGTACTCTAGCCAGTACCTTCTGTGAACATATACTCAACCTTTAAATTTTCCTAGAAGAAATTAGATTGGAGCATCATGGTAAATTAAAATGGAGCTAGATCCAGCTACCTGCTACTCCAGGTCAGGAAAAGAAGTCAAATGAGATTTTGCAGGTTTGAGTGATGCATTTGCCAAGGACTGGTGCCATCCTTACTAACAAAAGAAATAAGTAAGGGGATGGAAATGATTGTTACTAGATCACATCCATGTCATAAAATAAAGTCCAGACTTTTAAGAATCAGAGGCATTTCTTCAAATAGAATTTTAAGGAGGAGGAGGAGGAGGAGGAGGAGGATGCAATATTTGGATCAAAGTTTACATCGAAGAGCCAATGCATATTAATGACTCCCTAATCAATTAAGTAATAGAATAAGAATGACCCATGGTGTTCTTGCAGTTTTCTCAGTTGTTGACCATGTTTGTTTGAGTGGTATTATACAATTCAGGTATGTTTTATTTTGTTTTATGAGCATAGGAAAGTGCCTTATTCTGTGTCAGATTATTTGCTCATCTTTCCTGGATATTGGTCTATTTGCTTAATACTGTCTATACTGACCAGCAATCACCTTCCACAATCTTAGAATTTTTTGTTTAACAACCTCAATGGAGGAGGAGGGGGAGGAGGATTATTAACACTACTGGGCTAGATAGCATAAGTCTACTTTCTGGCTTTTTGAGACTGAGCCCAGGGATCTTCATGTAAAACATCAGTTTGGTAACTAAACCAGGGCATCTGTGGGTAGTCAGACAGGGTAAGATAAGGGACATGGCATTGTGATCCAAGCCCCACCCCTTTTCTTTGTGTTTCAATGTACATAAGAAGGAGGAGGGGCAATTGCAAGCCATGTCTGCTATCCTGCCTGCTTTTGTTTTTAATGTCCTCTGTGGATACTACTAAACTAAGCCATGGCACTTTCTTTTACAGAAGAGATAAAGCAATCAGCTCTGTGTATCTTAAAGAATACACAATCTAATTGTGAGTTCAATGGAATTTACTGCTAAGTAAACACACAAAGAAATGAAGTCTCTTCAGTAGAAATGCTTAAATAGCCTTCTTCAGATTTTGGCAAAATAATATTATGGAGGGATGGATACAGATATTGTTCTTTTTCCCACAATCCCAACCTCCCCACGTTGTCAGACAATTAGAAGTGTAACTGTGTTTAATCAATATTTTGACTCTTGCAAAAAGACCAGGAACTCGAAATGCATAGAATTTATTGTAAATCTGTATATAAAGTATCCTGAAGAGGTCTTGTGAAATCAAAGAATATAAGCTAACAGAAAGAAGGATGCAGTTTACAAATTAAATATACTCATCTGACTAATAAAAAACTGAATTTTGAAGAAAATTAAGTCTATAACTTCTAGCAAAGTACTTAACATCCTCTTTTTGCATGTAGGTCTCTTTAATTGCTAATTAAATCACAATGTTTTTCAAAGATCCTCCAATTAAGAAAAGGGAAAACATTTAATACTGTATATTCCACACAGTTTTCTTTACCAAAAAACAAAAAACCCACACGCTAATACCTTATTCTGTTTTGACAAGAAACAGATGTGTGTGTTGCAGATGAGGGGACACAGATTTTTCCATGTTCGTTCTGTTACCACAGAAGTTAACCTTCCTAAAGTGAATGTGGTTTAGGCAGACAATATGAAAGTAAAGTCTGGTTTTTATCCTTGCCTAGTCATACATCTCCTTTATTATTGATATATAAATGGTTTCAGAACTTTTAGAACTATAAGGAAATCTGAGGCAGTTCCTACCATGAATAATTCAAGTGAATATCCCCATGATACAATGCTTCCTTTTCACTCAAGGTAGTATTATGTGATAAATGTAACACAGTAATATAACTAACAAGTGATCTTTGGGAATCTCTCTATATCCCAGTTTAGATGTGATCTTTGGAGGTGTGCAATGGTCATCTTGAAAAAGACTGATTTGTTTTCCAGCTGAGAAGTAAAATACTGTCTGGAGATTTGACCTAGCTCTTTGTCCCTCCCAGGCATCCAGATATTGGCTCTCTATTCATTGAATCAGTGATTCAGTGGCAACTAGAGGATTTTCTGCCACTGATACCTGAAGATATATAGGAAATGCAAGTTTCATATCCCCTTTTCCTACTCCAGATACATAGTACTTTTTCAAGACAGCATTGGTTTTTGTGATCTTAAGCAAACTTCTAGCATGTCAAATGCATATCTGAAGAGCCCCTGAAACTGAAACTCTTGGGTTTCCCTTCCTTGTCTTCTTTTTAGGGATACCATCGGCCTCACCATTACATTGCAACTCAGGGTAAGTACCATGAAATCAGAGTGTGGCCCAAATGACATGATTCAAATGTTTTATATAAATAATAAATAAAAGACGTAAAGATGTCTGAAAGCAGGCAGTGCAATTAATTTAGGAGATAGATCATTATAGATGCTTTTGGGCCAAGTATAATAGAGATGTACTTAGTTTATTATTATTATCCTTGTCACTTTCACATGGGTTCACTTAAGTCCCTTTTCAAATTAATTATGATTTCTTTAATAACCGTATGAATACTTCATTTAAATATTTCTTTTTGCACATAATCTGTGTTTTTAAAGATAAAAATAAAAGTTTAATTTAATTCTGATACAGTTTTGACATGAGCATTGTGTTTAGGACAACTCATATACACTTTTTTTTTTTTTTTTGCTACATACTAAATGAAATTTCACATGTACTGGCCTTGGTTTCATAGAAGCCATTTTCCAATCCCCAGATTCTTTATTTCTGTTTGTAATTAATTAAACATGTGTTCCATCCTTTGATGTTATTTTTTTTTTCAAAATGACGTTTTCTTTCAGCCATGTTTACAATACTTTTTTTTTTTTAAGTGATTAAAAACACAATCAGAAATATGAAAAGCAGCACCTAGCACCAAATTCTCAAAGGGGCTGAAAAGATTTCTGTTAAAAATCACACTTTCATTTTATAATTAAGATGCAACCCATGAGTGTTATCACCTAACATCTCACCATATAATTAAGGGTGCATTTAGAATTTTAGGTGCCATTTATACTTAGCAAGTATTCTTTCCAGACCTAGCACTATATTCCTGTATAAATTAATATTCTATATTTGTCTCATGTGTTACTCCAAAGTGACCTTCAATTAGGTGTATTTATATCTGTTTGCAATACTTACTGAAAGTTTGGCACACCATTTTAAATCCTAGTTAGATTCAAGAGATGTATCACTCAGCAGACCTCACCTAAGAAAATAAGCAGGCACACTCATGAGACTTTGTAATAGAAGGGCTGTTGGCAGAAAGACAAGTACATTGAAATGTTTGTGCTGAAGTGATCTTTGGGGGGGGGGGTCCTTTCTGTTTTACTTATTCTGCCCTCAGGGCCAATGCAAGAGACAGTGAAGGATTTTTGGAGGATGATCTGGCAGGAGAATTCTGCAAGTGTTGTCATGGTCACCAACCTGGTGGAAGTTGGCAGGGTAAGATGTTAATTTCCCAAAGTTATCAGTCATATATTGTGGTTCATGTCATTCTTACATGTGCTTGTTTTGAAGGCTGCTATACCCCATTGCTGCATTAAGTGGCAATATATTCAAAATCCACTCCAGATTTGCATTTAAATGCACATTTAAAAATACATTTTGGTGTTGTCACAATAATATGCATTTCTAAATGAATTTGCTATCTAACTGTGCATTTCTAAATCTACACAACATGTATTTAAATAAATGTTTGAGCTAAGAACTCAGAATTTAATGAAGTGGAGAATCTGAAAGATAATTACATTTTAATCTGCACGTTAGGTGAAAATCAGAATAAGTTCATATCACATTGCACACAGACCAAACTTTTCAAGCAAACTTACTCTGCAGTAACTTACATTATCACTTCTAGTCTATACTGCTCTGATTTCCCAAATTTTAAAGCATTTGTACAAATATAATACTTGCTGTCTGATATGGCTTAAAATTAAACCAGCTGACTCCAGGTCAGCAAAGGAGTGAGACAAACTGTATATCTCTTATTTATTCAATCTACTGTATATGCTGAATACATATTAAGGGAGGCTGATTTCAAGAAGATGAATGCAGCTTTACAACTGGAGGAAAACCTGAACTATGCTGATGACACTATTCTGATAGCTGAAAATGCAAACGATCTGCACGTTCTAGAAATGAAAGTCATGAAACACAGTGAAAAAATGGGACTAAGATTAAATATAAAGACAAAGCTAATAACAGATACCACAACCAGCTTTAGAATTGACAGTGAAGACATTGAAGTAGTGGACAACTTCTGTCTTTTAGGATCAATTATTAACAGAAAAGGAACCAGCAATCAAGAAATATGTGCATGGTCAGGTAAAAATGAAAGCCATGGAAGAGATATTCATATGCTATAATGTGTCTATACCTATAAAGATCAGAATCATGCAAGCAATGGTTTTCCTATGACATTCTATGTATGTTGAAGTTGGACTTCGAAGAAGCAGGATAAAGAATATTGATGTTTTATGAACTATGGCATTGGAGAAGACTCTGGAGAATACCATAAATAGCCAGGAAAACAAAGAAATGGATCACAGAACAAATCAACCAAGAGTTTTGATTTGAGGCACAAATGACCAGATTCAAACTTCCATATTTTGGACACATTATGCAAAGACCAGCTCCCTTGAGAAGTCCATAATGCTGGGAAAGGTAGAAGGAAAGAGAAGAAGAGAATGACCAGGTGGATGGATTCAATTACAACAGCAATGGGTATGCCATTAGGAGATCAGGCTGGTGACAGATCATCCTGCAGAAGGTCTATCCAGATCATTCTGGAGAAGGGTGAATATATGCTAAGAGCTGACACTGTCTTGATGGCACATAACCTATCAATAAAAAAGGCTCTATATCTAGCTAGAGCTTACAATAGAGCAATTTTATACAATTACCATGTGTTAGTTTTGCATTTCTTTTCCCCCACCATCTTTCTTTTTCACTCAACTTTCCTGATGTTATCTTTTCGCCCACATTGTTTGAATTTCGTTGTGTACAGAACTCAGATCTGACAAGTTTAGACTGGATTCCTTCTATCTTTCCTGACTTTACCTACAGTAAAATCAGAATTAATTATTCAGTGAATGAACAGTATTTTATGTATCATTTTTCCAACTCTAATATAGATAATTTTATTATGATGAATATTGTTAGGATAGCAAGTTTGCAAATTGGTTAACAAATATTACTGCAATCATAATGGTATATGTTCCTATAACAATGTTCATATATGTATAATTATGTTTCCATATAAGTACATTGCTAGTCTAATTTAAAGTGTAGTACTGCAAATATAGGCTGAAAAGAGATCCCATATACAGATGGGTTTCATATGTCAAACACATATACCAAGACAAACAAGTTACATCAATGCTTATTGTTCTGTGTCCATGTTCCTGATAACTATGTTCTGAGTTCTTGATAACTGATGTAGACAGCCATGTACATGACAGGTCCTATGCAATTCAGTGTCCTTCTGATTTCTTCTTCTGCAGGAATGTATATTTTAGGCCCATATGAAGACCTACAGAACAAAGACTTGCAGTTAAACATCATAATTTTTTTTTTCCCCATAGGTAAAGTGTGTCAGATACTGGCCTGATGACACAGAAGTCTATGGCGATATCAAAGTGACCTTAATTGAGACAGAACCATTGGCAGAATATGTCATACGTACTTTTACAGTCCAAAAAGTAAGGATATATTGGCCCTCCCTTCCTCATCAGCTAATTTGTTTTCCAATATATCCATTTCTTTCCATGTTTCATTAAGAAATATAATGGTCAATATGGAATCATCAGTATACACTTTAGTATAGTGTATTAGATAGAGACATGGAGGATAAAACAACATGGCTATGTATTATCTCCAAAATCATAGACCACACATCCGATACAGAACAACAACTTTCCCGTATAGCTTAATGACTTCCCACAGACTAGAAAGACAAGGAATTCATGCCAGTGGTAAGAATTCGGAGAGGTTCCTTAGGCCAAGAAATCCAATTTCCTGTCCAATATTTCTTTGACATTATCTAGCAAAGACAAGCCCACCAGTCCCTTAGGGTTGGTTCAAATGTTGATTGTGTGAGGTTTGCCCCGTTCGACAGAGAAACTCTCGTGACACGTGTGGTTCACAAAGAA